ATAATTATATTTAATATAACTTGATTTCTATTTTTTTTTTATATATGTTCTCGCCTTAATAAATTTATTGTGTCTTTATAAGAATTAATTAATCACAAATAATTCCTTTATTTAAGTCATAAATTTTTTTATTATATTTAAATGTTCCTTAAAAAAAATTTTTTGGGGAAGGGAGGCGGTCCTATGCCGGCTCCGTCCCTGCCGGTGATATACAATATTAAGAAAAACTAATAAGGACGTGTATTGTGTGCACAACTTTAGTCCACGTAGGTGAGTTTTGAATGGTAAATTAATTTTGTATAATTTTTTTATCATATTTGTTTTGTATAATTTAACGTATTATTAAGATAATTAATTTTTTTAATTTATATAAAATTTATAATATTAAATATATTAATTTATTTAATAATATGTAAAAATTATATAAAAAAAAAGACAAAAAAATTCTCCCTAACACCACCCGTTTTTAATGGAGTTTTATCCCGAAATAACAACCGAAAAGTCAAAGAAAAAAAAAAGGGGAATTGGTTCTAGAAGTCAACAACACAGTTTTTGTTTGATATGCACATGGAAAATTAATTTTCTAAAGTGCATGCACATGGAAAAAAATCAATAAATTTGGGAAAAAAATTAAGAATAAGGATAAGAATATATAGCTAGCTCTAGAATTGTTCTCCAAAAGTGAAAAAAAAAAAATTTAGAATATCTTAAAATTGTTTCTTGCACTGCATTTCAAGGTGAAATTAGTTATATATTTTGTTTTGTTCCTCTTTTCCTCTTTTATGAATTAGTTCGGAATTGTCATGTTGTTATTAAAAGCCATAAAGAGGATAGATTTAAATTCTGTATATCCAGCTTGCATTCCAAAATATATAAAAGGAATTCAAGTCTACTGTTGTATGCAGATCTCAGACCCGTATTCTACTCAACCACGCAAATAATTGATACTACTGTCACCCTTTCTCCTTTCCTTATTTTGAATGCACAGATAAATTAAAACCATGGATTTGGTTTGAGAGGATCTTTCATAATTATAAAGGATTCATATAACGAGTTAATAACAATTTAAACCCTTCTCAATCGCATGAATGTTTAACAATCAACACGAGTATAAGTCATTCACAATGAAACATGACTAACTATTAACAAAATTGCATTTGGTTTACAATTCAACTCAATTATATTAAACCACATTATTAGCTTAATTTCAGTGTTTTTTTGGGTTAATTAGTAAATTTCTCTTGTAGTTGCTTCGTACCATGACTATAGGATGTGGTTTGCTATAGGAGGAATGAATGATTAGATCAAAGTCAATAGCGTGTGGGAAATGTAGAGATAAGATAATGGTTCATACTCTTTACGCTTCTAATCAAGTTGTTATGCTCATTGAGGGAACACAATCCCTTGGTATATAAACTCCTCAACACCATGCAATCACACAACACACACCTTTCTTCATTTATGTATATTCATTGTAAACATATATACATCTATATGCTAATGGATTTTTATGTGCTAAGTGTTTTTGCATTTCTCCTACTTGGTAGGGTTCTTGCAACTACTAGAAACACATCAAACGTCGACACTGATGTTAGCTTCGATCAATTCTATCAGGTTACATGGGGTTATGATCATGTTCTTTCTCTCAATCAAGGAAGAGAAATCCAGCTCTCTATGGATAAATCTTCCGGTAATCATTGTTTCTTCTTCATGCAAATACAACTGTGGAATAGGCGTGTCATATGCTAATTATACTTTTGTGTAATACAGGTTCTGGGTTCGGGTCGAAGCAAAGTTATGGTTCGGGGTTTTTTCATATGAGGATTAAGCTACCAGACAAGGATTCTGCAGGAGTTGTCACAGCTTATTATGTAATAAATCAATTAATCAACATTAACCTCTTATTACAAAGTACTGTTAAAAAGAAATGTGTTACAAAATGCTAAATACATTGCATAATATATATATGAGTACAGCTGACTTCAAATGGAGGTGAGCACGACGAGCTGGACTTTGAATTCTTGGGTAACAGAGAAGGGAAGCCAATCACTTTGCAGACCAACGTCTTTGTTCACGGTTATGGCAACAGGGAGCAAAGGATTCGACTTTGGTTCGATCCAACTGCTGATTTCCACAATTATCAAATTCTTTGGAACCAACGTCAAATTGTGTATGTAAAAAGCTTCTGTTTACTCGTATTTCTAAATGCATTATGTCACTTAATAAAATTTCTAAATTAGTCCCGAATGTATGTGCAGATTTTATGTGGACGACATTCCAATAAGAGTGTTCAAGAACAACACGAACGTTGGGGTTGCATATACATCGCATGCAATGCAAGTACAAGCAAGTTTGTGGGATGGAGATGACTGGGCAACGGATGGAGGCCAAACTAAGACTAACTGGAGCCACGCACCGTTCGTGGCTCACTTCCAAGGGTTTGACATCAATGGTTGCCAGACTCAGGGCCCCGGTATTGATCAGAATTGCTATAACTCTGGGTACTGGTGGAATGCACAGAAGTACTGGGAGTTGGATGCTGACCAACAGAATAAATATGAGAATGTGAGGAAGAGTTATATGACATATGACTATTGCACTGATAAGGGGAGGTATCCTGTGCCTCCTGCGGAGTGCCTTTACAATATGTAACAGCAAACATAACTGTAAAAAATAAGCTGTTTTATCAAAATAATACATGCAAAAAAGTGAAGTGCAGTGCATTATAATCGTTGATGAGGAGGGGTTGGCACCAACTGTTGGAATAGTCTCCCTCTTCATCAATGGTTTGCATGGACTGCAAAGCAACTATCTTATAATTAATATATGCACACTTTGAATTTTGTATTTTGTTAATGAATAAAATGTACCATCCAAAAATTTCACATTTTCTAATTTATATTTAGGATTGGGGGTCGGAAATTCAAAATTTTCCATAAGCTAAGGGAATCCTTCGATTTCCTCTCTACCGGAAAATGAAATTGTAAGGAAAAAGAAATTAAAGGGACATTTTTTCTTTCATATTTTTAAATTTTTTAATAATCAAATAAAAAAACCTATTTCTTCTCCTCCCATCACCTCTATTTTACTCCATCCAAATTGGTTCTAACATTCCTTGTAAACCATGTCACTTGAATCTCACTACATTTCATTTTTTTTATCATCAATGGTCAACATCTATTACTAAATAAAACTACAGTACAAGAGCCAATATACTCAGGTCATAATTAAGTCTTATTAATTGATCAATTAAATAAGAGGCTAACACGGTTGGAGCCACTAGTTGTACCTACTAACATGCCATTTAAGTAATTGGAGTACGCTAACATTGAAATTTTTCTCTTTTTTTTTTTTCTTTATTTACAAAATTGACATTTAATTTGTTGTCATATCCTACTGTATCATCACACCAGATCTTAAAGATGGTTCATGTCCACCCATTCCTATGTTTTCTTCCATCTTAATCTAGGTATAAATGCAATTATATTTCTTAGTTTAATTTAGTGAACTCAAAAATCGCATGGCTTCACAATTTAAAATACGTTTCTAGCAACATTGTTGATGAAGATTATCTCTTAGTAAATGAATTAATGGATTAGTAAAAAGATGGGGCTAAGAGATAGATTTTAGAGTGATCTCGCATTTAGGGAGTGTAAATAAAGAGGCAATCACCATGAACATTTTGTTTGTTAATATCTTTTATTAGTTCACTCCAATATCTCATGTTGTTGCTCTAGAAATTCTGGCATCTGACCCTCTCTTAATTTCCTTGTTTTTTGAAATTTTCATCTTATTAATGATTTTTATGATTTAGAAGATGAAGAAATATTTAAAGGAAAAAGAGTTGTAAATTCACATGACTACCAATTAAGTCATAAAAAACAAATGTTCTTATTTTATGAGTAACTCATTGTGATTGTGTTGCTGCACAACGTAAAAAGATGAATGCGTGACTCTTTTAATATACCAATGTAGAGACTTAAGGTAGTTAGTCACAGACTCACAGGGCTTAGCCCCCGTAAACTGTTTTAATATACCAATGTTGTCATTGGGGGTTTAAGCCCCTCAACATACAATATAAGTTTATTTAACTCTTGAACTATTACTGTCTTTAACAATTGCCCCAAAATTGATGGCAAGCGAGCACTTGACTGACATGCTTGTGTTTGCCCATTAATTTATATGCCTACTCTTGAGGTCTTTAGTGGAATTTGATAGTTGAGAGTAGTAAAAGGACATTGAAAGTTGAGAAGACCAATTTAGAAAGTTGAGAGTTCAATTATAAATTTTTTGTTTTGAAATTTTTTTTTTATTTTTAAGTTACTACTTCGGTGATTGAATCCCATTTAAAGTGAAAGACGAGAATTTTACTACCTTTATCGATCTAAGCTAGACAGCTTTTATTTCAACATGGCAATATCGTGGCAATAACATGGTGCTTAATAGGCATAAGTTAATGGATAGAGATGAGCACATGAGTCACGTTGTTGTCTGCTATCAATTTTGGGGCAATTGTCAAAGACATGAGTAGTCCAAGGGTTAAATAGCTTACACTGTATGTTGAGGGGCTAAAACCCATAATGGCAACAAGTTGGAGGGTGGCACAGGGGGTTAAGCCTTAGTCACTAAGATGGGGATATCTGGGTTTTAGTAATTTAGGATATTAGGCTATGATTGTTAAGGCTTGAATGGTTGTAACGGATAATACCTATTGAACTTCCTATAAAAATATCTTTTTGGTTGATTAATAAAACATAATTTTAAAAATAATGTAATTATAATATTATATGATATGATATTATAAGTTGACAATAATAACTTATTATAATATAAGTAACTCTTTTTATTTAGAAATTCACCATGATATCATAGATATCCTACTTATTTAATGATATGATATGATTATAAATTATAAATTTACAATCTTCTGTATCATTATAAATAATACAATAAATAAATTATGAAAAGTAGATTGATTAAAAATCAGTCTAATTTTTTTCTTTTTATTTTTTTGAAATCAGCCAAATTTGCCAAAATTATTAAAAATGGGTCGAAGCTAGACCGATTCATTTTTTTTTTTTTTGCAATTTTTTTAGTCTTTTTATTATTTTATAAATAATATAATAAATAAATTGTAAAATCAATTTAAAGTCAAATTATTACTTATAAACGAAAATTTTTAAGTTAATTTAAATGTAATTTTAACCAATTTTATAAAACATCTAACTCAACCTGAGACTGCAAATCCTTCAAGTCCTGAGATGGGAGGTCAAATTACGGCAGCTATTTATGCTCAATTGTTTAAGTGCTGTGCAGGAGGAACAGTTCACTTGGTAGCCCAAGCCCAACCACTGAATTGCATCCGTAAATGCGTAATTATTTTTTTTTTGAGAGAAAAGCCCATTTACACTTGGAATGGGCTAAAGATCTTCGCATCTAAATAGATTTAAGGATATGTTTGGTGGAATTTTTAAGAATTTTAATTTTTTGATATTATTCATATTTTATAAATTAAAATTTTTCTTTTAAAAACTTACATTAAAAATTTTTTTTACTTAAAAAAAATCTCAAACAGTAAAAACTCAAATATTTCAAATCCAAATTTTTCATAAATTTCTATTTTACTCACTTTTCACTCACTTTTTTTTATTTTTAAAATTAATTTTTAAATTTTTTTTCTAATAAAAATTTAAACTTATCACTCATAACAGTATTGAAAAAGTAAAAGTTCTTACAAATTAAACCAAACAGACCCTAACTCTTCCAAGCATGAGAGGGTAGATAGAAATACTGTCCCCAATTATTTCCAATCTTGGACATGACCAAATGTGTAGTTGTTTGAGGGACGCTGGAAAGGCAAATGGTCCATCTCTGATTCTGGTTAATTCAAGCCAATCTCCAATTAGAAGCTGTTGAAGAGTTGATAACCCGCTTATGCTTGGAGTGCTTTTCGACTTTTTGTAGCTTGAAATTTTCAAGTCCACCAAATTCTTGAGCGAAAATGATACACTCAATCTAGGCTCCATTCATGTTTGGAAAATTTTCACCTTCATAATATTCTATAGTTAAGTTTCTCAAAACTGGGGAGGTTTGAGACTTGCTGGCAAGTCATTTTATAATATATTCTCAGTAGGAATCAGTCAAAATTATTAAAAATGGGTCAAAACTAAACCGATTCAGATTTTTTTTTTAAATAATATAATAAATAAATTGTGAAATCAATTTAAAGTTAAATTACTATTTATAAATGAAAATTTTTAAGTCAATCTAAATGTAATTTGACTTGTCCGACCAGTGGCCAAAACAGGTTGACCTCCAAACATTGGGCC